TGTTGTCCCGATGAAAATTAATAATAATAATAAGTTTCAATAAAAATGATAAAATGTATATTGAATTTTATTTCTTCTGAGATCGCAGCAATGCGTTATGGGTAAGCTAGTTCTGTATAATTTAAAGGCTTATAATTATTATTAATTAATAATTCATTCAGTATTATTAATAATTAATCTAGTATTATGAATAATCCATCCAATAGTATCAATAATTAATAATAATAATTTATCTAGCATTATCAGCTTTAATAAAACCAAGCTTAGTGTCAGAAATTTAAACTGTTGTGAGCAAATAACAATTAAACTGATTAATTTAAAGCAATAGTTATGACTGATAACAATAACTTACAATGATTTCATGTTGTTAGTTGCATGTTGAACCCAGTTGAATATGGTAAGCAGTGAAACTTCATTGTTAATTTGATTGCTCGATGATATCAGTGCCCCTTAGTAGACATTCATTACTAGGTTATACCAACCATTATTAGCATGGTTTTTTTTTAATTGATAGCATCCTTACAAGGATAAGTTTATTTAATGCTTACAGGCTATATTAATGCTTAGAAAAGCAATTATATACAGTGGTGCCTCGTATAACGTACACCTCGAATAACGGACGCTGCGAATAACGGACTTTCTGTTTGACCATTACGTGACTCGAGCAAAGACTTGCTGCGAACAATGGACTTTCCGTTCGGCAGTTACGTGAGACGATCAATGGACTTTTTTCGAACAAGTGCGAATGATGTTTCCACTCTTTTGTTGTTGCCAATGACAATCTGCTATTTTTAGGATATATGAGTATTATTATGAATGTATTATTAGTATATCTGAAGTAGAAATGTAATGCAATATATGCTGGTAATTTAAATAAACATTAAATGTAATGTAATATATGTTGACGATTCAAATAAACGAAATGTAATTGTGTAGATGCCGAGGTGGCGGGACGAAAAGAGGTTGTAAAAAACAAACGGAGCGAGAGTAGCTCGTAGAAGTGTTTAGTGATCTTAATTAATAAAGAATTATTCGTATCATATAATCTGGCAAGTTAAGTCATTTATAATGCATCATGGCTTCTAAAAAAACAGAAAGGTGATTTCAATTGAAACAAAGCAAGAAATCATCAGGAGTGAAAGTTGACAAAAACTTTCTTGTCGAATGGGGAGAGGTTCAGGAGTTTACCAACACTCATTATCCAAACAGAGCTGAGGCCAACAGGATCAATGATCTCTACGATGACACCTTTGTCCGTCATTTCCGACAGGTGTTAAAGAAGAAAGAGAAACAGACCACCTTGGTCATGTTTTTCAAGAAGCCAGCGGGCAAAAAACAAAGGATGGAACAAGAGAAGTTGACCCTGCAAGTTCCGGTAGCCTCTCCTGAATCTGACTCCGATTAAAAAACAATAAAAAAAGACCCGCTGCAATGTGTAAAAAGTCTGTATCTGTATGAATGTGTAAAGAAAGTGTTCTTCCACCTCCTCCTCACAACATCTGACTACCCGGCATAATTGGTGTCTGCTCCATTTTCATTTTTTATGGTACAGTACGGTTATTTTATGCTGCGGAACGAATTATATGTTTTAACATGTATTTCTATGGGAAAATGCGTTTCGTATAATGGACGTTTCACTTAACGGACGTGCACCTGGAACGGATTAAGTACATTGTACGAGGCACCACTGTAGCTTTCTAAACAAAAAGAAAGGCATATTTGGATAGCAAAGTTAAAACTTTTATTTCATTTAATAATTAAAATTATGTACATTCGTTTAATACAGGGCTTCTTAAACTTTTTTATTCACAACCTCATTTATGATTGTGATTTTTTTCGCGATCCAAAAAATATAAAATAAAGATATACAGTATACAAATTTGCAAAAACAATAATGGTATACTATCACAGTTCACTCTTGTGTTACAATGGAACAGAGACAACTGAATATGCTGAAAAGTGACAATACTACATTAGTTCACACTACAATCAGTGTTGCTGAATCGTTGTCTTGCTGCACCAGAAGTGACAAAGCGCAACTCATGAAACCTATGACACAAAGTGTGCCATTTTCAAACTCTCACAAATTATTTTCAATATTTTGCATTAAAATCTTGCAACCCCAAGATTTCGCTAAGCGACCCCAAATGAGTTTGCAACCCATAGTTTAAGAAGCCCTGGTTTAATACAATTATAACACATGCATAATACAGTTAGTAAAATTACAATTAATAATCTTGCATTCTAGAATTTTATTTAATTAATATAAGTTTATTGATGCTGTTACCCAAGGTTCACATCTGTAAAAAAACATGCAAGAAAAATAACTACATGATTACAGTTTACATATAAAATTATATCAATAAATACAGTGGAACCTTGCTTAACGAGCATAATTCCAGAATCTTACTCATAATGCAAAACACTTGTCAAGCAAAACAATTTTTACCATATAAATTAATGTACAATATGATAATGCATTCCATGCCGAAAAAAATACTCAAATATTTTATGTATAATGTTTATTCAAAGAAAATTATACAATATACATTTTTAAGGAACGTGAATCGTTGTCATCTTTTCTTCTAGAGTGGAATGAACCAACCTGGAATGCGAATTCCATTTGCAGGAAACAAAAAAAAATTGAAATTTAATTTGAAATTGGTTATTAAATTTAATACAAGATGGCAGCATAACTGCCTACCTCTAGTCAAATTATTTAATTTCTAATATTTAATTATAGTCTTTACATAACCCAAGAATTTGGCATATTGTTTAGTGTGTTTATTATATAACGAACTGTGATTGTTGATGTTTATATGTAATATGTCTGAACACAAGTTTGGAAAAATGTGTGATCACAAGTGACATTAAGATGCTAATGGAACAAGTGCTAAACACAGACTGATGTAGCATGTGCACAATTTGGGACTTCCCCTCTTCTCATTACTTGTTATGCAAAACGTCACTTGTTAAGTGAGTCATTTTTTTACAGTTTGTTTTGCTCATTATAAGAGATACTCGTTAAGTGAGGTTCCACTGTATGTTATTTTATCTGTATTTTATATATTTCTAGAAAATTAATTAGGATGATAATTTCATATACAGATAAAAAAAATTACTTATTTATTTAGAACATGTTGCAAGTATAAGTAAATAATTTACTGAAACATCTAAATTAACTGTAGAAATGTATTTGATTTAATTATATGTATGAAAATGTTCATGAATACTTTATATCTTTATATTCTAAATTTTGTAACATTATGATAAATTATAATTTAATTAAATATATATGAAATGATTAATATTAATTGCCATATGATCAAAATCATTTACCTTTCTTCTTCTTTGGGAAATCGATTTAATTGGTTTCCATGTGTTGAAGACGATGTAATACAGCTTGCAAACATACAATAAATAGAAATAAAACATCCTACTGGTAAAAAACAAACTTCTTGCATAAAAAAAGTTATTTTTTAATGTTGCTAATAATGGTCAGTATAACACATGGTTTACCTGGCAATGAGTCTACACAACTATTACTAGAGGGTGCTAATATGAACTGGCAACAAATTTAACAATGGAAAATTTGCTTATCATATACATGTTTTGGTTGAATATGCTAGAATAAAAAGAAAGTATAAGAAGGCCTATTTACTCTGTGTTGTTAGAGAAAGACAGATTTCAGTAGCAAAACCTTCCTTCTTTATTTGTTGTTCACTAAGTACAAGCTAAGAGTTATGACATCCATACAAAGACAATGAACAAGGACAAAAGTCTTGTTCCTACTGTCTTTCCATGTTGCCAGTCATTGTAACACTTGATGTTGGCACATTACATATTGAAAGATAACTGAATTCTGATTATAATAAGTGATGTTTATTAAAATGTATTGTAACTTGTATGTTTTAGGAGCTGTTAATTTTAATAGCATTAATTGACATAAAGTATTTTTGCAGAATGACGGCATGCAGGTCT